AGAGAAGCCAACTCAAGCTGATTTAACCGCATGCATTAGCTCAGAGAAGGGGACGCCCAGAGCCTTGTCTCACAGCAAAGAAAGTTCCCCTCGCCACTGCCCCTAGCTCGCCTCTCTCCAAGTCGCATTGGCTCCAATTGGATTTGGCCTGTGAGGGGTCAGTGTTCTTGGTGGAAACACTAGCTGGTTTAGGCAGAACGGGGAATGTAATAAAGGATGTTAGCTATCCCACAGAATTGTTGGGAGGGCTGGAGAAAGGAACGGAAGGCTAAGCTTCTAGGAAAAATGCCCCAAGCCACACTGCGGGCCTGGCCCGATGAGCTAACCACCATCCTGCCTGAGTCGGCCCTCACCGCAACCACCGCTGCCGTCAGCACCCGCGCGGCTTTTCCACCAGGAGCTCAGCCCTGCAACTGCCATCCCCAAAGCTGGCCGCTTTGACCACTGGTCACATCAACAGAACCAAGGCTCGTGATCGGATTTAGTCTCCCGTGATGCCTCTGGCCGACACAGCCTATGTCACATCCACTGTCCTAGATGCAAGGGAGGCAAAAGATTTTCATCCTGATGTCTGCTCAGGATGCCGGGACTTAGAAAGTGCGATATTCTCAAATACAGATTGGCTAGAGATATGACAGCTGTGTCACTACAGCCTGCCCATTCTTGACCAAGCACTGGTGGGTCAGAGGTGGTAGGAGGCCATAATGAGCTTGGACTGCCAACGGGGCAGAATGGATATGTGGGGACCAATGGGTTCTCTCCCCTCTCCCCATGTGCTCAGGGTGTATACATGTCTGAGATGCCGCCTAAGGCCCTACCACTTACCTTCTCCTGGCTGATCCATGCTGTCCCTGTTTCTAGAATGCTCTCTCCCCCCTGACTCTGACACACCATTCTACTTATCACATAACATTTCAACACTTGTTGGTTCACTCATTTAACTGACGCCTCTCTCTCCTTCCAGGCCATAAATATGGTGAGAGCTTGATCATAGCTACTAACGGTAACTGGCTCGTAAGTACTTAATAAGTTTACCTGGAATGAATGAGCATTACATGAATCCCATTACAGGCATTTATAAAATCCCTCTTGGATCAAAAGGCATTTTAATAGTGCTTTTTGGGAACCGTATGTTAAGCCCTTAGAGGTGGGCATACTAGAATCACCCCAGTTTTTTTCTGTTTTGTTTTGTTTGTCAAGCTCTAATGCCACCAATGGATCCTGTCATGTCCAGCCCTCCCATGGTGAGATCACTTCCACAGTGAGCCATTGGCATTGGTGGGAACCTGTGGTATGCCTGTGTCAGGGTAGAAACCTTACTTTGGGGTACCATGGCTTGAGGGTGGTGGCAGCTTCAGTTTCTATAAAAACGTTCCCCTCAATCATGTCACTGTAGTTATAGTAATCCCCCAGCCTCACCAAAATTCTCTTAAGAAGTTTCAGCTTAATTGTCTTTCTTCCTTTTCTTTTTTTCTTTCTTACTTTCTTTTTTTTTGAAAAGTTGAAAACATTTGGGTGGCTTTTCCCATATCAGGGTAGCCTTTTATAAAACTGGCTGCCAGTCTCCCAGGAAACTGGGAAGAGCTTCAGAGAGTCTGCTCTCTTTCCACGATCAAGAGGAAGTGTGGGGTAATCGTGTTCATTAAAGAGCACTTATTGTTTCCCGTCTGCTAGAATCTAATTTTATTCTCGTGCCTGCACAGATAAGGTCACATCCTCCAACTTGATTTGGAGTTTATATTGGAAGATGAAGAAAGAATAAAAAAACATTACAGGTATCCCACCCATGGTAATAATATTATAGCTATTCTTTACTGAGAGCTTAATCTGCGCAAGGCACTTTTCTACAAGCTTCACATCTATTCACGTGGCTAATCCTCCCAACAACCCATTTATATCCTTATTTTAGGTGAGAATATTGAGGCACAGTCCACCCAGAGGAGAACAAACGGTATCTTAAACTGGAGTCCTGGCCTCAGGGGATTTCTAGGTTTTCAGTCTCATGAAGACACAGGCTTTGGGGGGCAAGGGAGGGCCGTGTCAGTCACTGAGGTCAAAGTGTGTGGGTTTGGGGACAGACCAACCTGGGATGGAACCCCAGCCTTCCCACTTACCAACTATGCACCCTTGGCAAGTTCTCTCCCCTCTTAGTTCCTTGTTTTTCTTCATGTTAAAATGGGTACAGCTGTACCTTCCCCATGGGGCTATTGGGGGGACTAAATGAGTTAATGGATAGCAGCGGGAGCAGTACGGACACCCCGCAGCTGCCCATCACCTGTGATCTCCCTTCCTCCATCAGGTGGTCTGAGTGGTGCTGGCACACGGAGGGACACGTATGCCTGCTGGCCTTTGAGAGTGACATTGTTTCCGGAGGGCGGGCGGGCCCAGGTTTGCTGACACTGATGTGACCTTCACGTGGGCTAGGCAGGTAACCCATGCAGATTTTGCTGCGTGCGGAAGGGGTAGCTCCAAGGGTCTTGAGTTCACAGCAGCTTGTTGGCCCAGACTCGCCCGCTCATGCAGGCTCAGGCGACCCTTTATGCAAGAGCAAGACAGTGCTGGGATCAGGACGCAGATTCAGGTTCACGTCCGGCCTCACTCTGGAACCTGAGGCCAATTTCCTCATCTCCCTGAGTCTCCCTCCATTTTCCTACGACTTCACTTAGAAGACTGTTGGCAGTGACCTTGAAATGCCTTCAATCAATGCTAACCCCCATTCTTTAGAAACCATTACGAGAGTCCCCCCTTAGCTCCAGGGAATACAGTCCAAGACCCGCAGCGGGTGCCCGAAACCTCGGATAGTACTGAACCCTATATATATATACACTGTTTTTTTCCTATAGATACGTACATTACCTACAATGAAGTGACATAAGGGTGACTTGCACACAAGCACTGTGATCCCGAGGCAGTAGACGTGACCACGGAGGCGGCTACGTGACTCACAGGAGGGGTGCGCGTACAGTGTAGACATGCTGAACGGAGGAATGATTCATGTCCTGGCGGGGACGGGGCGGGAAGGCTCGGGATTTCGTCACACTACTCAGAACAGCGCGCACTTTAAAACTTACGAATTCCTTCTAGAATTCTCCATGTAATGTTTTCGGCCTGCGGTTGACCACAGTTAACCGTGGAGCGCAAACCCCGGGAAAAGGGGAGACGGCCGTACATCGTGTTAAGATTTTGCCTTTAGCGAGGGGCCCCCACGGTTCTCTGTGCCCCCTAATGTCGCACACGTGCCGGGCCTGTGTCCCACGTCCCGTCCCACCGTGCTCGCCACCCTGAAAACGCCCCAGGTCTGAAGAGGAGACAGAACTTCCGACACGGCCAGGCCGTTTTCAGGGCCTTCGGCAGGGTCTGGCCCAGGGAGGCCTTAGGAGGTCCGTGTTCAGAGCGCCTTGTCCTGACGGCAGCTTGGAGGGGCTGCGGCGAGTGAACCCCGGAGCGCCCCCTCTCACCTTGGCGAGCCTCGGGAGGGAAGCCGGGGGCTGAGACCAGGCGCCCTCAGCGAAAGGAGGCCCAGGGCCAGGGCCTGAGGTGGTCACGAGGCGGGAAAACGGGGCTTGCTCCGGCTTGGGCGTCAGACAGCCCCGGATGCCAGTGCCTCGCTGTGCGACCCGGGGCCAGTGACCTGACCTTGCCAAGCCCCGTTTCTTCCTCTCCGGAACGGGGAGGCTGGCGACACCCCTCTCTCGGGGCTGTCGCTTGGACCCAAGGGGAGGCGTAGAAGCGGCGACCGCACGGCGCGCACTGCCCGCCACAGCGACTGCCGGGATCGCGGTCACCGCCGCGGTCGGAGCCTCCGCAAAGGCTCGCCGCGTCGGGGCCCCGGGCGCGCGCCTGCGCACGCGCACCTGCGCACGCGCACCGGCCGGCCAGGTGAGAGGGAGGCGGCCGGCTCGCACCTGGCTCTTAACCCTTCACGGGCACGGAGGTGGGCGGAACGGGCGCAGGGGCCGGGACGCGGGGTCGCGGGGTCGCGGGCACGGCCGGGCCTGACGCGCGGCGGGGGGCGGCTTGTG